TGTGTGTTTCCAGATATGGTCATGTGTGTGTGTGTGTGTGTGTGTGTGTGTGTGTGTGTGTGTGTGTGTGTGTGTGTGTTTGTGCCCGTAGGTGCATGTGTATACACACACCCATTCTGTGGGCCCCAGACCTCCTTGACTCCACTCTCAGCAGTTTCTAACATCCCCAGTCCAGCCACAGGCCTCCATGGCTGACCCCATACCCCTGGCCAAGATGGAGACTCAGTTCATTTCCTGCCCCCACCTCCCCAAGCAAACAGCTTCAGGACAACCCCAATAAAGCTGCAGTGCCCCGTACCAGCTGCTCCCCTGAGTAACAAAGTAAACAGGCTCTGCAGCTTCCCCCAGCTCAAGGTATTGGGCAGAGCAAGCAGGTGCTGACCACCGTGCGGATGGTTCCGGCAAGCTGAGTGTCTGCTGTCTGCTAAGAGTGCCCCATTTCAGCACATGAGAGACCAAGGAAGGGCAGGGATGGTCTCGCTGGGTCTAGGATCCTGGCTGTGAGTGTATCAGCATCTCTTCCATGCCAGGTATGGTGAGAGCCCGGAAACATTCTGTTCCTGCAAGTTTTACCTGTCACTCATGCTCATAAGGACCCTGTGAGTCAGGTGGGTCTTGCCTGCTACCCAGACCTGAGACAGAAGGGCTACACCCCATGGATGTCCAGTGGCTGCTAAGAGCAAGAGCAGGGCCTGGTGGGAAGCTGAGCAGGGGACTCTAAGCTGATCACCCTGCTGTGGCTGGTGCAGAACCCAGAAAAAGTCAGCTCTCGCTAGCCAGAAGACCAAGGCCCTGCGTGCAGAGCCAGAAAGGATGGGTGAGGGCCACAGGCATCTCTTTCCCTCATTGTTTGTAGCTCCTTGTCTGTTGAGTGAGAGGGTCATACAGGATAGTCTCCTCAGTGAAGGGAGACATTGTGAAGGAGACTCTAGAATGGGGCTCTGAAGGCTGCACAGGAGCTGACGGGGCTTTGGCGGGACTTGCCAGCTTATGTCTTGGGCTTGAGGGAGCATACAATGGGCAGGGGTTCCTGGCTCTGCCTCCCACCAGGAGGTAAGGAGGTAAAGTTGAGGCCAGCGACTATCCAGACCTGGGTAGGGTCGGGGACGGGCAAGGAGCCCAGGCCTGCCTGGCCTCCACCCTCAGGTCGGCCTTTACACTTAGCCAGCACCAGTCTTTCTTTGTTCTCCCCTTCCTCTCCTTCCCTCTTCTCCAGTCTCTCCCTTCACCTGTTCCCAAGTGTGCATTCAAGCACACCTCCCCCTCGCAATCCACCGGAACACCCCCTGTCAGTCCTCCTGCCCCTTTACATCAGGAAACCCACAGCACAGCCATTTAAGGAACATCACAACTGTCTCAGGAGAAAACCCCCAGACCTAGAGTTGGAGAACAGGAGGCAGAGCCTAGCTCCAGCCTGGGACCCTCCCCTCATCCCAGAGCCCCAGCAGGCAGCTCAGCAGGTAGAACCTTTCTTCTCAAAGCAAACCTTGGCACCATTGCCCTGGGCCCTTGTTGACATTTAACGCTCTGGGCTCCAACTGCCAGTGAGGAGAAGCCACTACCCCTCCTGATCATTCCAGACAACCCAGGCACCTCACTAGCACCCTGCAGGGGCCAAGGCCTCCCGGCACAGAAGAAAAAGCCAATGAGTTCTCTCAGGGATCTCCCAGATTATAGGCTCCCCTGTCCCCCAGAGCTGAGATGGGCTAAAGGGACTGTGAGTGGCATCTTATCTGGGTTCAGACTCAGAGGCCATGATAGAGGTCAGGTGCACGTCCCTTCTCTGAGGCAGCAAGGGGCTACGTCCTGTCCCTTGTGAGTACAGTCTCCCAGCCCGAGGGGGACACAGGTCTGCTGTGTCCCAGCCTCCCTGAACAGTTCATTCTGGGTCTCTGGTTGCTGGAGGAGTGGGTAAAGAGAAAAGCTGCTGTCTCCTGCCCTCTGAGGAGGGTTCCTAGGCTCAAATGTGGGAGACGTGTGCCTGACAGAGAGAAAATGCAGCCACATAGACCCCCAAGAGCTCCCCGAATGAAGGGGCTTCCCTCGAGGGCTCACACACAGGAGGCCAAGTGAAGACATGAACTGCAGTTTCTGGGAAATTCTGACAGCCAGGCAAAATGACTTGACAGGGTGGTTAGTAGACTCTTCAAGCCTTGAGCTGGGCTGGCACCTTTCTGGCAACCGGGAGAGGGACAGGCTGACAGTAACTGCTGCCAGATAGGAACCTTTCAGAACCTGTGAACACAATTTCCAGGGACAATTAGGGACACTCAGGTACCTCCCTCCTCTCCTCCTATTTCTCTCTTGCTTTTTAAGGACAAGGTCCCATGTAGCCCAAAACAACCTCAGACTACGCTGGCACAGTGGTGGTCTGTTTGGTGGAGCTAGGCCAGCGCCCCTGGCACTGCAGGACTGGTGGTGAGGAGACTGAGCCCAGCTCCCCTGAAGGGATGTAGTAAAGCTAATGGGTTCCAGGAAGGAGGACTTGAACGGCAGAGGTAGGCAGGGGAGTGGCAGGCCAGGGGAGAGCTGAGCCTGCAGAGGGGAGGTCAGAGAAATGGCAAACCTGAGGCTCGGAGCCTGACCTGGTCCGACTCTCTCCAAGGTGCTGACAATCTGGTAGGTATTGGGGTGCAGGTGTGAGGGACCTACCTACCCACTCTCTGGCGCTCTTCACCAGGTCCCAGTCTTGCCCCATACTCTGTCTCTAGTCTATATAAGGGGTTCAGAGGTTGGGAGGGCTTGGGGAGTAGCCAACAGCAGGGGCCAGACCTCTTGTAGTGAAGCCACCAGAGGCTGAGCAGGGGGTTACAGTGACTAACTTGCCACCTCTCTCACTTGATGTCCCTCAGAAGTGCTTTCCTGGGGCCTGAAGCTGGGTCCTGGGATCTGGGCCACTAGGATTGGATCTCAGGACACAGGGTGGCCCAAGGCATTTTCATGCTCCACCAGACCCTAGGAGGCTGGGTCTGGAAGGAGGTGCCCCACAGGACATAGAGGACAGGGGCTCCCAACACACGGCCATCAGGCATTTCATGAGGGCCTCCTGGGCAACTTCACTCCCTGACGACGAAGTACTGGATATAAACAGAAGTCAAAGGGAACAAGGTACCAAGAAACAGCTCCACTCAGTGTCTCTCTGTAACTTCCCCTCACTTACCTTCCTGGGGGACAGGAGGCGCTGAGGGACGGACTCCAATCTCTGAAGCCCTATCCACTAAACCTCTGACATTGCCCTGCCTCCTGACGGCCTGCACCAGCTGTCACCAAGCCTTCTTTTGTCTGGAGAGGCAGCCGGGGCTTCTGTGGCAAGATCAAGCCAGACCCACTGAGCCTTAATCCAGACACGTGGTTTTACCCCCAAGATCAACTGGAGGTTTGGAACCTAGAGGCATCACTCAGGAGACTGTCGCCCTGGGCAGCTGAGAGAGTAGCCTGTGTCCAACATGCCAGCAGTGGCAGCCCTCAGGCTTGTTTTGGGGGCTTAGGTCTGTAGCAGGTCTCTGATTAGGGCCTGATTCTTCAGTGAGCCTTTGGGTCCCTCCCTGAGGCCACTCACTGAGCTTCAGCCTCCCCAAGTCTTCATATTCCCATAGGCCGATGGCTTTTTGAGGATTTAGACCCAGGCTAAGTTGCCAGTCACCGATGGGCCATCAGAAAGGGAGACATCAGAAGGGCTCCATGGGGGTGGGGTCTTAGGGAGCTGGGATTCGAAAGAAATAGCGTCTTGGGAAAAAGGACAGTAATGTAGGGAGAAAATACGGTGACTATGTCCACTGCAAGGAACAAGGCAAGGAATGTCAGCTTTATTCGAGCCTGGATGTGAGGAGGAGAACAGGCAAACTGGCGGTTCTGGCCACCATTCTGCGTTTCATCTACACAGCTCTAGAAACGGAGCCCAGGGCTTTGCCCATGCCAAGCAAGCACTCTACCAACTCAGCTGCATCCCAGCCCACGGGGCCAGTCCAGCAGAAGAAGCCCTGATTGCCAGGTTCTTGAACAGAGAAGGCTGATAAAAGGTGTTGGAAGGAAATGAACTTGACAGGGGGCTGGGATGAGCAGCCAGGAGCAGACGATGAACCTTGGAGGCTGAAGGGACCCAATCAAGAGGTGGGCAGGACACCCCAGAAGAGGGAGGTGACCAGAGCAGGTGCCTTAAAGCGACTGTGATCCAAGGATCAGAGCCCACACACAGGCAGGTTACACTCTCCTGAGCCTGGCCATCTTCATCTATGAAGGGAGACCCTGTCCACGAATCCAGGCTGTAGGTGGCTGTCCTATTAGGGTGACTATTGCTATGATGAAAGCAACCTGGGAAGGAAGTCAGGACAGGAACCCACAGAAGGCAGGAACCTGGAGCAGGAGCTGATGCAGAGGTCATGGAGGGTGCTGCTTCCTGGCTTGCTCTCCTAGGCTTGCTCAGCCTTCTTCTTTATAGAACCCAGAACCACCAGCCTAGGAATGACACCACCCACAGTGGTGACTGTCCCTCATCATTCACTAAGAAAATGCTCTATAGCTGGATCTGTTTTTTTTTTTTGTTTTTTGTTTTTTGTTTTCCGAGCCGGGGTTTTTCTGTGCAGCTTTGGAGCCTATCCTGGCACTCACTCTGAAGACCAGGGTGGTCTCAAACTCACAGAGATCTGCCTGCCTCTGCCTCCCAAGTGCTGGGATTAAAGGTGTGCGCCACCAATGCCCAGCCTACAGCTGGATCTTAAGGAGGCATTTTCTCAATTGAGGCTCCCTCCTCTCAGATGACTTTAGCTTGTGTCAAGTTGACATAAAACTATTCAGCACAGTGTGTGTGGACACGCTGGCATGTGTGTTCTCTGTGACACCCTTTTCTCCTGCCTCAGCCCAGCCTCAGCCATGAGGGGCCAGAGGTACAGGTAGCCAGTCATTTAGCCTAGCCACCAGCCCCAGGCATCAGGGAGCCCCTTCCTCTGCTGCATACATGGTCCATCGTTCAGTCGGGAGCTCTGGGCGTCGGGAAAGAGAGAGAAGGGAGGCTGGAGTCTGCTGGGGAAGGGTCCAGAAGGCTTCCTTTGGACTTGACTGTCCCACCAGTAAATTAGGGGTAGGAAGAAAGTGTGGGCTGCCTCCCCCTGGGGAGGGTATGGGTGCCAGGGCTGTGAAGCCTACTCACCCGGTGAAGTAAGAATGAGGAGGCATTACAGAGTACCCAGGCCAGCACTGGCCCCACTGGCCCTGCTTGCGACAGTGCCTGGACCCCAACACCTTACACACACACACACACACACACACACACACACACACACACCTGTGGCTGAGGCCAGGCAAACATAAGGCCACAGAGAATCGAGTTCTGCCTCTTGGAAAGGCTGGCAGCTGGGCACGGGGCCCGGGGAGCTGGCAGGGACTCTCCTAACGTGGCAGGCGTGGGGCTGCTGGGGATGTGGATGGGGCCAGAAGGGCCACTGAGGGGTGAACGAGGAGAGATGGAGACTGGAGAAGGCTCTCCTGGGGTGGGGCTACCACCTGGGGTATAGGGTGTGAGCACAGGCCAGGGTGGGGACTCAGGAACAGAGCAGGCTGTGGACACTGCCTCGGTAAACACCAAGGGCCCATGGCACACACACATGTTTGCACAGAAGGGACTTGAAATTAATCTTTGAAAGGAAAAGCTGGAACCAGAGGCAACACCTTCTCCTCCTTTGTTGGCTTTCTGTCCCTGCCAGAGCCTGCAGGGCTGTTCTGGAGAGTGGGGAAGGGAAAGGCTGGGCACTGAGCAAGGCGGGGCTGGGCACCAAGCAAGGGGGGCATTGAGCAAGGAGGGGGAGAGAGAGAGAGAGAGAGAGAGAGAGAGAGAGAGAGAGATGAAATTCATCTCAGTTCCATTTGTCAAGTTCTGCTAGTCTGAGAGAACAGGAAGGCATTTCTTGACCTGTAGGACTCTTCCAGTCTGGACCTTTCCCTTTCCCCCTGCAGAGGCAAAAGTCAGCACACAGTGGGTCCTAGAGCATGACCAGAGACGATCAAAGCGCCCTGGTCCTCCCCACAGCCCTGTGTGCTGTGCACTTGCAATTCCAGCACTTGGGAATTCCAGGAGGCCGGAGGACCAGATGGTCTGTGCTTAAGTAGCCTGTGCTACTTAAGACCTTAAAAAATTTGCCCCTCCACCTGCCCATGCCCCATTTTGCCCACACCTCCACCTTATCATCTTCCAGCCAGCCCTGTGCTCACTGCCCAGTGACCCAGAAGCCCCCAGGCCTCTCCAGGCCCAGCCCACTGCCTGCTGAGCCCCGAGTCTTGAAGCCAGCTTAGTGGCCCCCGCAGAGCCAGGGCAGCCATGAGACCCACTTTCCTTCCTCCTCCATTTCTGCAGACGCAGCCGTGAGCCTCAGCAGCAGCATGGGCAGTGCCAGCCCAGGCCTGAGCAATGCGTCCCCCGGTTGCCTGCTGCTGTCCCCAGATGTAGCGCTGCGGACAGGTGTGGAGAAGTCAGAGGAGGGAGCAGTGGGCCCTGAGAAGCGGGAATGGAGCCCCAGCCCACCGGCCACCCCTGAGCAGGGCCTGTCTGCCTTCTACCTCTCCTACTTTAACATGTACCCCGAGGACGGCAGCTGGGTAGCCAAGGTACCCGCGGCCAGTGCCAGGGAGGAGCTGCTGGAGGAGCCTGAGCAGTGTCCGGTCATCGACAGCCAGGCATCTGGGGGCAGCCTGGACGAACACTCGCTAGAGCAGGTGCAGTCCATGGTGGTGGGCGAGGTCCTGAAGGACATTGAGACAGCATGCAAACTGCTCAACATCACAGCAGGTGAGACCCTCCCTCCCGCCCACCTCCACACGGGACACAGGCGGGGCGGGGATCTGCTAGATGGACTCTGATCACCTTGGGCAGCAGAGACACACAGCAGCTAGAGCCAGGGCCATGCCCAACCGTACCTGCCCTCTCTTAGCGGACAAGAGAGTCCATGCTCTGTCCTGTCACCCGGCTTCCTGCCTTTTCTGAGACTCAGCTCCCCTCTCCGGTCTCCTTTGCTCTGGCTGGTCCTTCAGCCTAGAATGTTTTCCTGTAGATAACTCCTTAGCCCTTCCCTGGCCTTCTTTGGGTCTTAGGTGACTGCGTCCTCATGAGACAGCGGGTCCTCTGTTGAGATTGTATATCCCACATCCCACCCTCGCTTCCCCATTGTCTTGCTGCCATGCTAGGTTTGCCATCTGAAGTTCCGAGAGTATGTTTGTCCCTACCTCACTTTCTGTGTGTACCCTCTAAAGGACTTGTGTACCCCAGTTCCTAGACAGCACTGGACGTGACTTCAGCCTTCACCCTTCAGGGACAGGATACTAGGCAGTCAGCAGGACATAGAGGTCCCTCTGTCTATGGAGCTGGCATGATGAGATGTCATTAAACTGTCAACTGATGGGGAGGACTCTGATGAGGAGTGGTACGGCTGGGGAAGTGAAGTCCTGGCTCCATCCTGCAGCTTTCCCATGGGAAGGAGGGGCTTCTCTTTCCCTCACAGCCAGCTCCTGCCCCCACCCCCTTCTGCTAGATGCCCCCAGGTGGTGTCCCCATCCAAGGCAGCTCCTGTCTCCACTTTCCCACACTCCAGAGAGCCCTACCCCAGGAGGCTGGCTCTCCCACAGTACCTCGTCCCCTGTACCTGCTTGGGAGGGCTATGCTCTCAGAACAATGGGGACAGAAACAAATTGCATTGACCTCAAAGGAGAAAATGGCTTTATGAAGTGGGAGCTGTCTGGCTTTCAGGTCACTCAGCTGGGACACTGGCTTGAACCAGTGTTCCCCTGGAGGCCTCACTGCCACTGTGACCCAGTCTGGTTCCAGCTGTGTGCCCCTGAGAGCAGCTTCCCAGGGGACACATAGCTGGTGAATCCATTCTCTACCCTCCGCTGATCCATAGCCATTTGGGGCAGCTGCTATGAGCCCAGCTGTGTGCAAAGCATTGGACAAGGGATGCACCCCCCATGTGCCTCAGTTTCCCCTTTTCTAAAATTCCAGGATGGAAGGGTTCCCGGGTGGGTTTTCTCCTTGAAAAGAATGTGGATGGCAAGTGGTATCTGGCTGTTTGTGGTTGAATGTCAGTGTCCCCTTCAGAGCTAGGGTCTCCAGAAAGGCCCTGTGGGAGGCTGGACAGACAGACACCTGAACGTGACGGGTTACAGAGGCAGCGAGCTTGTGCTAGGGCGGTGGCTTTTCCTTCTCACTTCCTTTTTTGTGGAATGCCTGCCACCACAGGGCCCCTCAAGGCTTAGGAGCTCAGGGTCCTGGACACAAAGCCCCACATGGGTGTTGGGTGCTGCTCACAAACTGTCCCAGCTAGGATGCTGTCTCTTGCCCAGACCCTGGGGACTGGAGCCCTGGTAACGTGCAGAAGTGGTTGCTGTGGACAGAGCACCAGTACCGGCTGCCTCCAGCAGGCAAGGCCTTCCAGGAGCTGGGCGGCAAGGAGCTGTGCGCCATGACGGAGGAGCAGTTCCGTCAGCGTGCACCCTTGGGTGGAGACGTGCTGCATGCCCACCTGGACATCTGGAAGTCAGGTGAGAGATGAGACAGCTCGGGCCAAGTCCCTGCTAGCTCCAGGCCATTATGCGGAGATCACAGGCAGGCACCCGGTGCCCGGTTCTTACTCTCCCTTTTAAAGGGAAAACCCTTCTTAAGGTTAGCTTTATGTTTTATTGACGAAGGGCGGCTCAGTGGATAAAGGTGCTTGCCTCCAGGCCTGACAACTTGAGTTCGATCCCTGGGATCTGCATGATAGGAGAGAATGAACTCTCCCAAATTGCCCTCTGACTTCTACAAGAGTGTGGGCACACCTGTGTCTCTCTCATCGGCACTGTGGAGGATGCTACAAGTGCTCATTGGGTCAAGGCCCCTTGCCTTAGAGGTCTGGGATGAATGGGGGACAGGGCCCACTCAGGTGACGCTGTGAGCGGTCACTGTCTGCCCCGACCCAGGCACCTGACCAGTGAATGTGACCTGAGCAGAAGGGCTTTTGTCCCCGGCTGATGGCCTAGCAGTGGGCAGAGCGGGTGGCCGCCTGGCTCACTGGAGGGGAAGGCCTGATGCAAAAGCCAGGCCTCGGCGCCTGCCACCTAGCCACAGCCGCAAGGGAGGTCCCTGTCCCATTTCACAGTGAGGAAAGGGAAGCCCCTCCACATGGAGGCGTGCAGTGAGCCGCAGCTCTGACATCCCCACCCCTTGTTAGTACCTTGGGACCCTAGAGGGGCGGGAGGCAGGGAGCTGTGGGCCCCCGGGCACAGGTGTCATCCGACCTCCCCTCCTTGTCCCACAGCGGCCTGGATGAAGGAGAGGACCTCGCCCGGGGCCCTTCACTACTGCGGTGAGCCGGGCAGGCGCAGGAAGGCCTGGTGGGGCTGAGGGAGGCTGCCCGGGAGAGTGGGTGGGCGCGGCGGCCCCTCCCGCGCAGCCTCCACCAGCGAGGAGGGCTGGACAGAGGGCGAGGTGGACTCGTCATGCTCAGGGCAGCCCATCCACCTGTGGCAGTTCCTCAAAGAGCTGCTGCTCAAGCCCCACAGCTACGGCCGCTTCATCCGCTGGCTCAACAAGGAGAAAGGTACAACCCGCCCACACGTCCATCCTTCATCCTGCCCGGAGGGGCGGGGCTTCTGTCCCAGGGGCAGGGTGGGGAGGGGAGGCAAAGCGGGGTTTCTGTGGGGTGGAGCAACAGCTGGGAGAGGGGGCAAGGGGGCGGGGCCTCTGGTAGGCAGAGGTGCGACGGGCAATGGGCGCAGGGCTCTGATTGGGGCGTGGCCCCATCCGGGAGGGGCGCTGGGGGTGTGGCCTCGACTGACTCCACCTTCACCCTGGGCCAAATGTGCCCAGAGATCCACACCCCTGCAACTTCAAGGATTTTGAGGTTTAGGGTGCTCTTGGTATCCTCGTTGGCTTCACCAGACTTCCCCCTGTACTGAGACTCCTTCAGCGCCTCACCGTGCCTGGAGCACAGTGCGAACTTGAGAGAAGGGCGTGGGGGGGCACAGGCCTTTAAGGCCAGCGCTAGGGAGGCAGAGCCTGGCCGTGAATTTTACACCACCCCTGTCTACATAGAGAGATCTTATCTCAAAAAAAAAAAAAAACCACAAAAGAGCACAGAGGCGGGGGATGGGGGTGGGGGGACAGGACTGGAGAGATGGCTCAGCGGAGGTCCTGAGTTCAATTCCCAGCAACCACCCGGTGGCTCACAACCATCTGTAATGAGATCTGGTGCCCTCTTCTGGGGTGCAGCCATACATGCCGGCAGAGCACTGTATACATGATAATTTTTTATTTTTATTTATTTATTTATTTTTGGTTTTTCGAGACAGGGTTTCTCTGTGTGGCTTTGGAGCCTATCCTGGCACTCGCTCTGGAGACCAGGCTGGTCTCTAACTCACAGAGATCCGCCTGCCTCTGCCTCCCAGGTGCTGGGATTAAAGGCATGCACCACCAACGCCTGGCCATGATAAAAATTTTTGAAAAGTATTTTTGGTCTTTGAGAGGGCCGAGGTTCCCAGCACCATGTGCTGTCCTCAACTCTAACTCCAGCACCAAGAATCTGATGCCCCCACTCTGACCTCTGCGGGCACCAGGCGCGCACTCATACACACACAAGCAAAACATTCATCCACATGAAATAATAAACCTTTATCAAATCTTAAAAACCATAAAACATCATGTTTTGGGGGCCGGTGAGACAGCTCAGTTCGGGCAGGCACTTGCCACCAAGCCTGAAGACCTGAGTTCAATCCCGCCGGATGGAAAGGGAAACAGTTCCTGCAAATTGTCTTCTGACATGTGTGTACACCAGGGCACATTTTCACATAGTCATGAACAATAAGTAAATGAGTATAAAAAAATCAAAAGAAAAATCATAGTTTCAACCTAGAGAGACTCATGGTGTCTACCAGAGACACAATGTGAACCCTGTATATATTAAATGTTCTCGGTCCAGAATCAAAATATTTAAAAAACAAGTGAATTTCACTTTCATGATGTAGGTTGCCTGACCTTTAATACAAAATTCCTAAATGCTCCCTAAATGCAAACTCTTCAGACCAGCATCATGGACTTCTGGCCAGGAAAGTCTGTCAAATAGTCCTAAATCCTAAAACTCTTAAACTCTGATGCGGTTCTCACCCCAAATTTCAGACTAGGGGTACTCAGCCTGCATTCAATCTAACACTAAGCTGGAATTTCAACCAGTAATAAAAGTGAAATTATTGAATGCGTTTGCACATGCCTTTAATCCCAGTGTCCCAGAGCAGCCAAGGCTATGTAGAGAGACCCTGTCTCCAAAAGAAAGAAAGGAAGAAAGATGTTTGCTGCCTCTCACGGCCTGTCCCGAGCCTAGGGCTGGAGAGGCTCCCAGCATGTATCCCTTACGCTTCCCCCAAAGTGACCCACGGATCTTGTCTCTCTCCTTCCCTCGACCTCCACACGCCCCTCCTCTCTTCCCACGCTCCTTTCCCCTAGGCATCTTCAAAATTGAGGACTCCGCACAGGTGGCGCGGCTGTGGGGCCTGCGTAAGAACCGGCCGGCCATGAACTATGATAAGCTAAGTCGCTCCATTCGCCAGTATTACAAGAAGGGGATCATTCGCAAACCTGACATCTCTCAGCGCCTCGTCTACCAGTTTGTACATCCTGTCTGAGAGCCACAGAGGCTGGAGGCCCACTGCCTGCTCCAGACAGCCACTCTCCTGCTGGCCTGGGCCTTTGCCCAATCGGAATCCCCAGAATCCAAGGTCACAGAGAAGGTCACTTGTATGGGGCTACACATGAGCTCTCTGGGTCCCTCTTCAGGTCATACTGCTCAAGTACACAGACCCCTGGAGGGTCTTGGGAGCTAAGACTGCTCACAATGGAGAAGTTCCCATCCCAGGCTTGGACTGTGGGATTCGTAGAGAACCACCTACATCACACAGAGACCGGACCAAGGCAACTCACAGGACAATGACGTTACTGCTTCCTGCCCCTGCCACCCATCCTGTAACATGACTGGCATGGTGCTAAGAAATGTCTGTACCCTGTGTTGGGGACCCAGGGGTGCCCTAGGAATGGATAATAAACATACAAGATAACTGACAGGTCCCCAGTGTCTGGCTGTGGATGGCACAGCCAAGAGGCCAGCAGGGGTCAAAGGTGACTATGGTCACAGGTGTCTAGGGTGGTGACCACAAGGAAGGTTTGCCCAGGGAGGTGTCATGGAGCCGAGCCGAAGAGAAAAACAGTAGCTGTTTGGTAGATGTCATGGAAGAGGCAGGGAATTCTCCAGGCCAAAGTAGCTAGTCTAGCCAGCCACTGTGTCCTCCTCACCCTGGCATGGCTGAAGTGGGAGATGACCAGACCCAAAGACAGGAAGGCAGCCTCTGTGCCTGCTGTTGAAGGGCAGGGCTTGCTGCCAGGTGTGCCCAGGTATGCCAAGGGTCTGGCTCTCCTGCAAGAGGCCCAGAGCTCTTATATGTGCTTGGCCACCTAAGAAAGCTGAGCCACCTGGTGGGCTATGGGAGAGAGTGGTGATTGATTCTGTTTATGGTCAGTGGCTTCATGAGGATGGTGTGTCTGTTGCCCAAAGGCTTACCAAGAGCCATCTGTGGAGGTGTGAGTCCCTTACCTGGGCGTGAGAGCCCCCTGAATGTGGGGAGCTGGGTGTGCATCTGCCTGCAGGTGGAGATCCCAGACAACCTTAGCAACTCAGGGTATCACACTTCCCTGGTTTCTTTGCCCAAGTCAAGCATCCCAAAGACCTGGCATGCCCTAGCCACTCCCACTGCCTTTTTGTCATAGATCTTCGCAAAACCATGAAGCCAGGGCTATTTCTCTATTCTGCATGTGGGGAACTGGAGGTCCAGGTAGACCATGCAGTTAGCTCACAGTCACGCAGCTATGGATGCCAGGACCAGGATTTGAGCTCACACTATCCCTCCCTTTCCTTCCCAAACAGGCTGGCACCTCAGCCCCACAGCCCTTGGCTTCTGAGGCCAGCTTTCTAGGAGAAAGGACAGGGAGCCAGCACCACTGGGAACACCGAAAGGTTTTCCTTTTTTGTTGTTGCTTGGTTTGGTTTGGTTTTTGTTACACAGAGACAGGGTTTCTCTGTGTAGCCCTAGCTGTCCTGGAACTCACTTTGTAGACCAGGCTGGCCTCCAGAGATCCACCTGCCACCACTGGGCTGGACCACCAAGGGTTAAAGGCATCCTGAGCCCTGTCTTCTGCCCCCAGCAATTTTATCATCTCCTGAAGAATGTTTACCCCTGACAGTGAGCAAACAGTGCCTTGGCATCTGTCAGTCAGGACTGGACTTGACAGGAGGTGGGGTGGGGGGTGCTACCCAGGCCTCTGCCTTGCTAGGCCCCAGCTGTCTCCCATCCCCAGGGAAGAGGCAGACTGGGACCCTGGCCAGAGGCAGGCTCAGCGCTCTGTTAAACTGGTTTTGTCTCCAGCCAGCCCATCCTGCCCCTCAGGCATCCCTGAAGTCACCTGCTTGGCTGTCCCAGATGTGCCTGGGCCAGCCTCAAAGCTCAATCATGCTGGGGGGTTCTCAGAGGGGCAGGGGGATTGGTGAGCAGGAACAGCTCCACCTAGTGGAGGTATGGGAGACCAAAGGGCAGCTTCCATCAAGGAGCATCCTTCCAGAAGGCGGCTTCTTCTACCCAGTGAGGCATGGTGAGCTGGAAGCAAGCCATGGATTCTCCTCCTCCTGTTGACACCTCCCAGTTAGAACCTCACGTGGGCAAGATGTTTCCTGACCCCTCTTTGGACGCCTCGTTTCAGGGCTCCCCCAAACAAACTGGAACAGCCTACATGAATAAGAGACCACCACTTTGACTCTAAGATTCCTGGGCTGGGCATGGAGGCAGGAGTTCAAGGTCACCCTTAGCTACATGACTCTTTATTATTATTTTTAGATTTACTTATGTGTATGGGTGTTTTGCCTGCATGTATTCTGTACACCACATTCATGCAGTGCCTTCAGAGGTCAGAAGAGGGTGTAGGACTCCCCCCAAACCCCCACCCCACACCGAGTTATAGAAGGTTGTGAGCAGTCATGTGGGTGCTGGGAATTGAACCTGGATCCTCGGCTAGAGCAGCCGAGGCCCTAGTGAGACTCTAATTTTAGGAAAGGAAAGGAAGGAATGAGGGGTGAGGACTTGCTGATGTAGGAGTTGTTTTGTGAGGCCCTATCAGATTGCCAGGGTCAAAAGAGCCTCTGCTATCCCCACAGACTGGGGGGCGGGGCTGAGGCAGGGGAAGGGGGGCAGCATGGGTCTCAGAAATGACCCAGCTGAGCTGTAAGTGGGCATCATAGTTCCAGGATGGGCCTGGCAGGGCGTGGAGAGCAGATGCTCCCAGGTGGCCTCCTACAAAACGTGTTCACAGTGGGCAAGCAGCAGGAGAGCAGGAAGACCCAGTGTCACTCCATGGGAGGCCCCAGCAATGACTTTTTAGAATTCTGTTTTAAAACCCAGAACTGTTTGAAGACCAAGTTCACCCTTGAACCAGTAACTTGGCTATTTATTTGTTGGTTGATTGCGGTGCATGGCATGGAAACAAACTCACATATTAGACAAGAACCAACTAGCCACACTTCCAGCCTTAGAGACCCGAGTTCACCGGTCAGCGCTGTCATCTGTCACCTTGTATCTGAGGCCATAGACTCGGTGACCTCCCTTGGATAATAACTGGGCCCTCAACTGCCCATCTGATCAGCACTTAACCCTGCACAGGACCACCTCCCGTAGGACAGACATCTTCATCACAGAGACCCTTCCAAGGACCCACACAAAGCCCCAAACTAAAGATGCACACGACTCAGTTGACAAGTCCAGCCAGGTTGACAGAATTCTGGTTTTATCCACAGCCATACAGTCACAACTGATATATATATATATATATATATTTGTATTTATATACCTTTAAATTACACAATCATGTACAAAACAGGTGCATTGCTGAGACCACAGCACTTCTCGGAGTTTCACAAGTGTCGGAACTAATGGAGTCAGGAGGCCTAGGGCGGCAGACGCAGTGGTGGCGGGCAGCAAGGCAGCCTGGGCTCCTCCTGGAACTAGGCTGCAGGATGGTGGTTTAACTGGGGAGGAAACACATCACTGACCGAGCCCTGCAGGGTCCCGTGCAGCATCAATGGGGCCCCCGGGGAGTACAGGAGGGGTGTAGACACGGCGATGGGTATGGCCCAGCCCAAGGTTGAGGTGCCCTGACACCAATAACGATAGGTGGGGCTTGGCTCAGGGCTCCAGGGACTTCTGGGGGGCAGACCCTGCGGCACCAGGGTGCTGAGGAGTTTAGGGACCAAGTCTGGTCCCAAATGGGGTCACTGAAGGTGGCTGTTCATAGGGAATAGATTTTCCTGTCCCTGCCCAGGAGCGGGCAGCTAGTGCACTGAGGGGGGGGCAGGCCTGGGGTCCAGTCAGGGCCACAGCCCCTCCCCAGGTGCTGGGAAGCCGCTGGTGCAGAGGGGGAGCCCAGGCCCCAAGGTGCAGATATGGCGGCTTCTAGCCTTTCTGGGGTGTGAATGAAGGTAAGGAAGGGGTGGAGGACTCCTGCCAGCTGGGGAGGCAGGAGGAGCTATATTAAAAGAAGGGTTATGAATCCTCCTTCAGGTCCTGAGGGGCCCAGGACCCAACCTAGGCTGCAGCTGAAGCCCCTAGGGCAAGCAGTGACAAGGAGCCCTGTCCATAGGGTGCCATGCCCATGGTCCTGAAGGAGAACGAACCTACTGCAGGCCCTGCCACAGCCCTACTCATGAGAGAGGGATCAGAGCCCCCATGCCTGGGTCCCTGACGTTAGCAATGTCAGAAGCAGCAGGCAGCTAAAGGGTCCTAGAGAACATCGGGTCGCACACTTTCCCTGGAGGTCCAAAAGGTCACCTGATTCGGAAGGCAGAGGGTGTCTGTGACCCAGAGGCCTATCAGACATCCGCTGTGAGCATGGGATTTCTCAGGTCCCTGTTCCCAAAGGTCCAAATAAACAGCCTCTGACTGTCCCCCTCTGGGTCTGCTACCCACCCCACCCACACAAAGGAGAGAGAGCTCTGTCCAGCTTCCAACCACAAGGGCCCTGTGTCCCCTCCCACCTCCAGAGTTCCTTAATGGAGACTCAGGCTTAGAGAAATGGGGGTGGGGTGGGGGCTGCCAGCATTCAGGGGGTAACGTTGGAAAACAAGGAAGACAGGGGACCACCCAGAGTTCCCTTCTCATGGCAGCCTGAGCTGCAGGCTTCCCCATACAGTGCCAAGCTGGAAGCTTCCCTAAGTCCGAGTGTCTCCCCAGGTGAGAGGGGACCTGGCTGCTCCCCTGAGCCCCTGTATCTCCTAGGTTGGCCAGGTGACAGAGCCAGAAAAGGGAGGTTGAGAACCCTGCAGATTGGCTTCACAGAGGCTGATGTGGACACAGTGATGGGGCGGGGAGGGGTGTGTGTGTGTGTGAAAGGGGTGGAGCATTTCAGGATGGCCATGAAGGCAGAGGAATGGGGGCCATTGCCTCTACCCCAGGGGATGGGAGAAGGCTGCTACTGTTGCTGGCTTTGCCCTGGGCTTAGGTGAGGGGGGCTCTGCCCAGTGCCAAGGCCTCAGGAGAGGGGCAGGTGCCCCTGCAGGCTCCTGAGTGACTCTGAGGAGGAGGAGCCCTGTCCACAGGCCCAGACAGGGTTTGCATCTCCCAAAGTGGGCCTGGCATTGGAGGGTTGGCACAGCCTGGACGGAGGCTGGGCTCTTCCCCTTGCTCTCCCTGTGTGAGGGATGCCATCACATCCTCCAGCCCACCTGCCTTCATGTCTGGGGAAGGGAAGCGAGCCCTGAAACCTTCACAGAGAAGGGTGACCAGAAGATCCGGGCTGGGAGAAGAGCACCCCCAGGGCAGAGTGGAAGACTAAAGATTGGGAGGCCTCCTTCTTGGTGTGGAGGAAACCTTTAAGAGGAGGGTAGTGGTAGAGGGGGGGGTCAGGGGTAGGGTGGAGAGGTGAGGGGGCCGGGATGGCAGCCTGGGATGGGGCAGGACAGTGAGGCAGGGTAGAAGGATCCAGGAGATACCCCTCAGGGCTCAGGAGACTCTTTGGTGGACTCTGTAGCGCAGATGTGACATTGGGCTAAGTCCCAAGACCCTTGCCCACGCTGGGGCCATCGTCCTAAGCCCCACCACCCTGGCCTCCAGGTAGGCTGCAACTGATGTCTCCTTGTATTTCTTCTTTTGTTCTGTTTTGACTTTTAAAAAAATAAAAGCTTGATCGGAAAA